ATACAATATTCTGCAATGAAGTAACCCACTCAACTGCTTAGTTTGTAAAGTATTTGTTCAGTTGCTTTATTTCGTCAGATTTTAATTACCTACACATCCACATTTCCCCCCCTTCTGTAAGAATCCTGTGTTGCTGCTAATTCAACCCTTCAGGTCTTCTTCAGTTATTCGTGTCAACTGCATCACTCCTTGTGTGCAGGAGAAATTTGATGTTTTCCTGCAGAAAGTTGAAATCAGCTGTCGATTTCTCACACAACTATCTTGAAATATTAAAAGTGTGATGGAAATTTGTCTGAAAGGGAACGTGGGGTATTTTTATGCAGATCCTGCATCATTTAAAACTGTACAACAACAGTAATCCACCCTGTCGGTCTCCCATAGCTGTGGTGCGACTTCGACAAGTCCAGCACCTTCAGGAACCAGACGTACAACGAATCAACCTCCATCCCCGACATCTGCTTCTACCCAGAGGTACAAACTAAATGAGGTGTCTGAATTTTGCAGTCGGGTCCATCTGTTGTGTCTTTTTTTTTTTCTTCCCACTTGTGTGACAGCAGCAAACTGATGAATTAAACATCCTCGACATCTGCTCGCGCCCAGAGGGAGGTCTCGCCTCAGACAACGCTACGACTGATGGAGCCATCAGAACGTCACGGAGAAAATATCCATTATGTTGTTTTGCTCACATAATATGCAGCTGATTGATGAACTCAATAAGGGAGCCACATTTTTATAGCTCCGAGCTCGGGTTGACTCGTGTATTGTTGCATGTATACATCATAAACGTATTTCCTCCTGAGGCTCGTGCGCGCAAATAAGACCTATTTTACACACATAAAGAAGAGTTATTGACTTTGTTTTAGGCCGCACCAGAACGCACTCCAATATTAAATTAGACAAAAACTGATGCCTGTGCCAAGTCAGAGGCTTTTGGTGCAGTGAGCGGGCTGTCAGATCTTTCATTTTTATAAAAGGGCACTTTACCAACTTTACACATAAAGGCCAGTCGACTCATTCTCATCTTGTGATAATGGAGGTTTAATGTGGAGGAGCTAATGAGTTCATAGTGATGCTGTAAATGTTACTTCAGTTTGGAGACGGAAGATTGGCAGCAGGAGGTTTGTGTGCAGGCGAAGGAGTCCACCAGTCAGGACAAAGGTAAACACAGAATGGTTTCTGGGGTGAGGAGTCAGGATGATTTCTGCAGCTGCAGCAGTTTGTCTCTTATTAATTAAGTAAAAGTGTTATACACGTCACTCTAAGTGCTAATGCAGGCTAACAGGTAGGCTTAGTTTAGTTTGTTTGCATGATAATACAAAATGTGTCCCTATTCATAAAATCCGTTCATAAAATCCCAGCTTGCCCAGTCTCCCCTTCAAGGTTCTCTCTTGTCAGATCTCTGAACCATGTCAAACGCCTCAAATTTTCAAAAATCTCTGAGCATCTAGAGCTAGACTAGAGGAGGAGGAGAGCACAATAGTGGATGATATTGTAAATCCTTTGCTTCTGAAGATGAAGAAGGCCTCACCCATGTATCCTGGGACAGGATGC